TCTCTCTCTCTCTCTCTCTCTCTCTCTCTCTCTCTCTCTCTCTCTCTCTCTCTCTCTCTCTCTCTCTCTCTCTGTCTCTCTCTCTCTTTCTTTCTCTCTCTCTCTCTCTCTCTCTCTTTCTCTCTCTCTCTCTCACTCTCTCTCCTCTACCCTCTCAGTTTATTTCCTGCCTCTATCTCATTCTGCCTTTTCAGCTTCCTCTCCCACTTACTGACCTTGGTTTGTCCCTCCTTTCCTCTGATAGCGACTCACACGCATTCTTACATAACATTTTTCTTAGAGCCTAGACCTTTACAATTATTTTTATGTAGGTTTTGTTAGCTGGAAATAGAGCTGTCTCTTGATGCGGGTCATAATTAGGCACACTTATAGTTGTACAGTGAAACTTCAGCATGCCTAAGCCACAGAGCAAAACTTTACTTTTTTTTCCTCCCCTTTTCTCTCCACAGTGATCTCCTGTCTTCGGGATATCAGGAGAGGCATTTATCAGAGAATGGGAAGATCGTCGTCACCAAAGTAAGATAATAAAAATCATTCTCACTACATTAATGTGCAGCTGGGATGTGAACCACAGCTATCAGCTCAAAATTTCCCTTGAAGTCTTCCTTTTGCTTTGATAATTGCCCATTCTTTCTAATATAATTGCAAAGCCAATGATCAAAATGTTCACTTTGTTTATCAGTGATCCTCAGACGTTTGTATACACTCATCATCAGTAATTGTAGACACTCAGAGATGCATTGGAACCCTTGAAAACACACCATACAATTGCAATGAAGTTTAAAATTAAGATGTTGGATAGATTTCATTGGATATCAAATATTTACATACACCCCCACTCATATTTTCAATAAATGTCCCTCAGGAAGGTGCAGAAACAACAGCTGCTTTTTGTTGCCGTCAACAAGGACTTTCGCATTGCTGTGACTGGATCTTTGGCCACAAAAAATAGGGATAACCAGCTCTCCAAAATGCTTAAAGTTTCTGATGGGGAGGTCTGCTAGGGGCTTTTAAACAAACGGGTCATTAAACTACCTAGAAACATTTCAGAAACTTGTATTTTGCTAATGGGATGGCTAAAGAAAGCATGAAGTTTTCCTCCAGCTCGCTAGAAGATATTTATCCAAGTATTAGTTGAGCCTGTTGAATCAGAGAAAATCCAAATAAAATGTAAACTTAAAGTCAAACTTGTGCACCAAACATCTGGCAAGTGATCCATGGAGAGTATTTGCATATTGCACTTTCAAAAAATATCTGCCAGCCTCTCATGTTACTTATTTGTCTGATCAGTAAACCCAGTAACTCTCTGTGCGTTGAAGCAAATAAACTTTCAGAAAACACGCGCTCCTTTAAAAAGAAAAACCCGGAAACATCTGTTCTGTCACTACAAACGCTTCGTCAAGCTAAAGTAGAAAACGTCACACGGAGTCTGAAGAAAAAGACAATTTTCATGAGTGTCATGGATCAACAGTGAATTTCTAGAGATCGTCAGCTGTGGCTTAAACCTGCAGCTGCTCTGAAACCAGATTAAGATTGCTGCGATAATCCAGTGAAATCTACACTGCTCAGTTACAGGACGCCCACTCAGACGTTATGTGACACCGCTCTGTAAGTGGGTGAGGATTCATAATGCTCAGGATTTCCTCGGCTAAGCAGCAGATTAGTTGTAATATCAGATGTTTTAGAGAGAATGATCCAAATTAACTCCACAGATCTTGTAAAATATGGCCACCGGTAATTATAACAGTCAATATAAAGCGGTGAATTAGTTCACGTTGCTGATTAATGTCCAGAGGAGACAGAGTTTTCTTTCTGACTGAACAAAAAGCAGCACCTCTTTCTGTTTTAAATGCCTGCTTTCCAGGAGGTTAACTCGAGACAAGCCTCCTGTGTTTGTGTGCGGCGTGTAAAGGTCAACGTGTCCATCAGCCGCTGCTTTGATAGATCTGGGCCAGGATCTGTTCTGCTCCTGTACGGCATCCGATATGAGACAGAGTGCCATCCTGTTAAATGTGCTATCAGGAGTCCACAGGTTGAATTTAATGCAGTTAGCTCAGGGCGGATCACGCCGTTCATCGCGGCACAAAATGTTTTCTCACAAACTTTTAGAAGGATTTTTAATCTGTTTTGCTGCAGGAAGGATGGAAACGGTAAAAACTTTCCTTCTCTGGTTACAGTTTTCTTTCTTTAATATTAACATTATATTATATTTATTATATGATATAGAATGGTTGTCCTTCAAGATGCATTTACTCTGCGTAAACAAGACGCAGAGTAATACAATAATAACAAAGAATAATACAAAATAATATTTTGTATTATTACAAAATATGAATCATTTCAGAGAATTGATTATTAATTGAGAATTAATTTATGTACAAGTTACTGTAAACATTATTTCACAATGATAAACTAATTATTAATTACTCTTGTCATTATTATTAAAGAGTATTTATTGGAAATTAAGCCTAATCACATGTTGAAATGACTTGCTGCTCTTTTTACAGCTCTACATGATGCTTAATGTAAGTGAAGTTTGTATGGGAAGCATTTGAAACAGCTGCTGGAGGTGATCTTGTTTTATTATGTGTTGTGTTTTATTACCCACATCCAGTGTCCAGCCTTAAGTGTTTAGCTGTGCATTTTATTTGATTGCTTATTTGTGGTGGAATAAGGAGATCCCAGGTCTGAGCAGCTTAGCGACATGTAAATGTGCACATGGTGAATGTTCCCCATTTGGTTTCTCCTCTTCTGATGAGAAGTGGAGCAGAAGGTTCAGTACGACAGGAAGAGGAGAGACTCTGGGATAGTGGAGCACAGCATCACTTATAAATAGCCTGCTCTGTTTTTATGATTTTGCGCACATTTTCTGTGCCTTCAACAACCTCCTTCCTCTTCATCTGCAGCTTTAGGTTCTTCTTAATGACTTTCAGATCCCCTTTCATCTTATATATTGACTCAAAATTTCTGTCTTTCCATCTTGTTGCTATAAAGTATTGTTTTACTCTTGCAAGCGTCAGTCATGTTATAAATGACACATTGAGAATCTCTTCCCTGCTTGTTTTCCATTGTGAGTGTAATTGGCACTGATTGAAGGGGAACAAGAAAGACAATCAGCCCTAGCCCAAATGAAATAACTTGAAGCCTTTTGGTTTAATGAACAAAATTTATGTAGACGAGCTCCTGAGTCTTTAATTCATACTCAGTAATCCTCATGAAGACTTCTTTATTAACACATTTATTCCTAAGGCCTGTTTAAAAGCACATATACTTTATGGTTTTCTAACAAGATGCTTGTTGCCTCTTTCAAATCCTTCGTGTCTCAATTATTTTAATGTGCAGTCCTCTGTGGAGCCGTGATGCCATAAACTAAAACAATAAAACATAATACACCTATTTTTACTAGGACACATCTAATCTGACTGTGTATTCCTGTGACTCTCCAGGTGTTTAGACAGAACAGATCTCTTCTTCTCGTCAAAACTTTAAACTCCAACTATTATGCAAGGCACAGGTGTCAAACTCAAGGCCCGGGGACCAAATCTGGCCCACCGTAGCTTTTTATGTGGCCCTCTAGACTCCAAATTACATCAATAAGTCCTTCCAGTTTTTCACAAATTTGCAAAATTCACACAAAATCGAAAAAAAAACTCCATGTTTTTTTTTTCTTTCTGATCTTACTGCAGATTTTCTCAAAATTGGTCAAAAACATTGAGTTTAAGGGACTGCTGCCTTAGCTTTTCCTGATAGTACGTAATTCATACAATGAGTAATAAAAAGTCACATCTAACATTATACATTAGTGCGAATATCGAAAAAATTCCTTACAAACATTTCTAGATTGGCGCCACAAAATCTGTAAAACAATCACAAAATCCTGGATATTTATATTGATTGATATTTTAACAGCTTAATTGGTTTTCTCCATATATTCCGGCGCAACCGGCCCTTTAAGAACATTCAGATTTTTGACATGGCCCAAAATGAAAATGGGTTTGACGCCCCTGATGACTAAACAGCATTTTATTTATAGGGAACCAATGAAGATGGCAACTGTTGACACTAACTCTACAGCCTCTATGGGTCGAAACATGTGCAGTGTTGTAAAAAGAGTGTTTGCATGTTTCTCACATTCCTGTGTTTCAGAACATCAAACTAATTTAAAGATTATTCAAAAACAACACAAGCAAACTCAGCAGTCTGCCTGCACAGAGGTCTGATCTGCAAAGTGCTGATGAACTTGTAGACCGATAATAAATCCAAGTCTTCACTCACACTTTTTTTTTCGCATGCAAATGCTTACATGCATATTTCTTTCACAAAGCCATATGAGACACAATTGAGGGACAGTAAGAGGTCTGGATGAGGAAGAACGTCTGCTGGTGTCCACAGGGTTAGACTTTAGAGCAGTAATTGATCCTCTGATAAAAGCTTCCTGTCTAATGGCTGCTAGGCAGCAAGAAATGGAGCAGGAGAAGGGCAAAAGAGCACTTAGACATCATACTCATCTGCAGACAATAAGTGTATGTTTATGCTCAACAACACGCACACGCACACACAGGAGGATGGAGAAATTTCTGGTGGAGATGGAAAACACATTACAGAGGACCTGGCATGAAGGTTCATAGTTTGGAGAAGCTGATAGCTAGCGTGTTATTCCACAGATGGGATCATGTGAAAGTGTTGAGGCACAGATCAACACAGCGTCACGTTTACGCTTACGTGTTTTGAAAATCAGTGTGATCGATCGCTCTGGACTCAACTCTTGTTGGAAGGCGGTAACAAGATGTCTGAAAGGTTTGAGTCGGAGCCAGGCCTTCGAACGTAACCCGACTGTGTTTTGCACGCAGGGAGGAGAGCACTGCTACTACCAGGGGAGGGTCAGAGACGCGCCTCGCTCCTTCGCGGCGCTCTCCACCTGCCACGGACTGCAGTGAGTATAAACGCCGTGGACGTAACTTTTTCCCTGCTAATGTTGCTCCCTCTGTGTGTTCAGGTTCAGGTCTTCCTGCCTCTTCGGGTCAATGTAATTAGTTTTCTCCAGCCGTTCCTGCCTGTCTGCATTTTGTGTTACAAGGGTTATCATTCAAACAGACTTCTTCCTCTCCTCTTTTCCCTCCACTGCTCTTCCTCTGCTCTTTCTTCTTCCCAATGTTGGTATTTTTAGCATTCCTGCTTGAAAGCGGTGCTCTGTTCAAGAGAAGAGTGAAAAACGAGGCCTTTTGGGAGAAGTACATGTTGTACTCTAAGTCAGAGTCTTCTGCTTGTACAGGGTTGGCACACAAACAGTTTCTTTGTAAAAATATTGGCACCGTTTGAACCTTTCAACATTTTGTCAGGTTATAACCACAAACTTATTAGCATTGTGTGTAAATGACCAACAAAAAGTAGCATCAAATTGTGAAGTGGAAGGTTTTGCAAATTTTGTGAGAAATGAAAATCCAAAATGCAATTGTAGTGATCCCCCTTTACTCTGATACCCCCAAATAAAATCAAATTCCATCACCTCCGTTCAGAAGTAATTGTATTAATCAGTAGAGTGTAATTTAGCCCCCGTATAAATCCAGCTGGAGGTTGTTGGAGAGCATTATTTAACAAACAGCATAACAAAGACCAAAGAACAGAGCAGACAGGTCAGGGAGAAAGTTTCAGAGAAGTTTAAAACAGAGTTAGGTTAGAAAAACGTATCCCAAGCTTACAACCACTTACATAAAACTGTTCAGTTCATCTTGACATCAAAAAAGCTGTCAAAGCCTGGACATTCACTAAACCAAAAGAACAAACAAAGAGAGCGCTGATAGAGGAAGAAATGAAGAGGTTCACAGTAAGTCTGAAGGATCCGCACAAATCCACAGCTCAGTTGGGAGAACGCAGAAAAACAACTAATATTTGTGAACTCCTCAGATCTGGCCTGGGTAGAACAGACAAGAGAAGAAAACCGCGCAGGGAAAGAAAACCATGCACAGAAAATGTGGAAGAATTGGTTCTGATCAAAATAGATCGTTTTGATCTGGACGCAAAATGCTCTGTTGCAGAAAACTTACACTGCACATCACTCTGAACACATCATCCCCAGGGGAAAACACGGTGGTGGCAGCATTATGGTGCAGGACGCTTTTCTTGTGCGAGGACAAGAAAGCTGGTCAGAACCGATAGAAAGATGGATCTAAATACGGAGCCGTTTTATAATCAATCAATCAAATTTTATTTGTATAGCACATTTCAGCAGCTAGGCATTTCAAAGTGCTTTACATAATTAAAATAAAAACAGCATGTGACATTGAATAAACAGTGAGAAAGAGAAAGATATTTTGAAAAAGATTTAAAAAGATAAAAACATTAAAACCCACACCTAGGTTCACCTTCCAGCAGGACAATGAACCTAAACATATCAAATGTTTTACCTCAAAGCATATTCGTGTGCTAGAAGGATCCAACCTTAAATAGTTAGTTGTACAATACTTACTTGTGGTGTTCAAACTTTAATCCGATCAAAAATTGGTGGGATCACAGACAGTCTCCATCCAATCAGATTGAGCTTGAACTGTTTTCCAAAGAATATGGGGCAAAAACTTCTGTATCTAAATGTGCACAGCAGGTGCAGACAAACCCCAAAGACTTGCAGCGGCAGTGGCAGTAATTTTTTTTTTTTCTGCAGAACTTCTGATTTGTATTTGTAAATAAAAGTGCTTTCTTTATTTTTCTTCCAGTTATAAATCAGATGCATCGTTGTGTTGCTCCATCCCAATAAAATGTACTGAAATTTGTGGTTGAAAAAAAATGTGGACACATCAAACTTGAATGAATGGTTTTTGCAAGGCGTGTGGTGTTATTCTGAATAACAGTGATTAGTTCTTTGTAAATCTTGCTTTAGTTCCAAATGAAAGGCTTGAGATGAAGAAAATAACATTTTAATGAATTCTTTGATAGCCCAACAGTGAGTATTTAACACACTCATTTTCACATTGTCGAGAGTTCACACTAATTATCGCCTTCAGTCGTCTCCTGAAACGTTACGATGCCCACTCCACATCTATCAAAGCTTGTTTCTACTCATCGTGTCCCTCTTCGTCACAAAGTCAGGCTAAATAAGCCAAAACATTCAGAGCAAACATGTCATTTTGGCTAATTATTGCGAATGTCTGAGGTATTTTTCCTACCTGCTGATTAGGCTGAGCAGAGCTCAGGCCTGGAGTCACGTTTGCATATTTCATGGGACTGTGGCTCAGCAAATTATGTAACGGTGCGTGTGCTATAATGAAAACACAGGCTATGAATTAATCAAATTTAAAGCATTCCACAAACAGAGCATATTTAGGACATGTGAGGCACTAACATGAAAATCTTTTGCTGCTTTTATGAAAATGACAACAAATATATAAGTGTAAGCCGGGCGTGCACAGCGCTGTCAGAGGTGTTTCCTCCATGCTGAGTCGGTTCTCTATCATTTTATACATCCTGTTGTCTCCTCTAAATGTTTTCTCCTCTTTCGCTACCTCTTCATCTCTCTCTCTTTCTCTCTCTCTCTCTCACACACACACAAAAAAACCCTTTATCTGGGTTTCAATAGGCTTCACCCAACATCAAGACGACTTTAGTTCATCATTTGTCCTGATGAAGAACATCTTGACTAAAAGGATGTCTAAAACAATAGGCCTTAATATTATCTCAATTATATTTATTTATAATTCACAACAGCTGCTTTCATTTTAATGCAACATGCACATATTTTACATTACGTCCTGTTTTCACTTTGGACCTCAGTTTTCATTCATTTTGGACAGTTTTTCTGTTTGTTATGTTGCAACTTTTTATTTAACCAAGATAAAATATGTCCTCCCAAAAACAAGTTTCCACATGTACTTGCTCCTGGTGACGTCACAAAAGGCTGAAGGCTGGCTCTCGTTCTTTAGGTACCGTAGTAAAGTAAAAAAAATAAAAATAACAGCATTAATTTGGGTTATTTAGCCTGAACAAACAAAATAGGGATTCATTGTTCAGCCAAATATTCACCATGCTATTCACTCATTTAGTTTAAGTTTTACACTAAATATTTAACTGGCTCGCTTAATATTTATTTTACATTTGGTAGCATGAAGTTAGAGATTTAACCTCACGGTCCCACTAAATAAATCTGCCCGTGTGGGTGTGTAGTTTATCATAAGTGTTGGCCCCGGACAGAGAGTGTGTTTGTGCTGAAGGTGAGCCGGAGGTCAGACAGGATGAAACAGCCTGAGAGTAAGGAGATAGATTGTGTGTCCCTGCAGCGTTTTGACCCTCCTGACTTCACAGTTTGACCTGACCAATCTGCTAAAAGCTCCAGATAAAGCTAATTAAAGGCTGCTGTCTGATGGTGAGCACATTTACTCATAAGGACGCGACACGCAGAGGTCCTTCACCCGTCAGCTTGAAGTCAAACTGATTAATCACTTTTCTGTATGGCTTTCGGTGTGTGACGACGAGGCTCGTGTGTGTCTGTGTGTTGCTGCTTTGTTCGGTTTTCTACATTAAACTCCGTTGACGGTTTCTACAGTTTCGCTGTCTCTGGTTTGTCTTGTTTAATGTGTGAAAGACACTTTGGTTTTGTTGCATATTCTGAACAGCAACACCTTCTCATTTTTAGTTAAATAGTGTTGCAGTGTTGGACTGAAGAATAATTTCAGCACTGCCTCAGTACTTATTTTGAGCTGTTTTTGAATTTTGGCCCACTCCTCTTTGCACAATTGATTTAATACCTTATCTATCAGATCTACCAGATTTGATTGATAAGTCTGGTTTGTCTGGACTTTAACTAGGCCACCATAGTTACGGGTTGGATCAGTTCTGATGAGTCGCCCAGGCCGTACATTAGCAAAGCAGACCTATAGTCCGTTTATGTTTATTTTCTGCAACAATATGTTGAGTTTCTTTCATGTAACTGGGATGTTTTATGGGGAAAAACACAAGGTTGACGTTTGTGTTTGTTTATCTCAGCACTTGTTTTCTTCTTGGAATGCTAAATTCTTTTTCTTGTTGTTGGATCATGATTACTGATGAATGTGATGGGCTCTGTTTTGACGAGTATTTAATCTGCTCTTGGAGAGCATATTACTCCAGAGTAATTTACTCTTGGAGTAATTTCTCCATTTTTGGATAATGGCTCTCGCTGGAAATGGTTTTGCAACACTTTCCGCACAAATACATAAATTACTTTATCTGTTCTTGAATTTCTTTCCCTTCTGTTGTTACTTTTAAATATCTTCTAGTCTTCCTTATGTTTTCAAACAGGTTCTGATTTTTTTTTTCTTCTAAAGTTTTGGCAATAGTCAGCCAACTCGTGTATCTGGTGAAATTGATTCTACTTTCTAAACATTGTGGTTACTAATCACAGTTAAGTCATAATTTAACATAGGAGGGAGTTACAGTATATTCTCAAGTAGAAGCAAGTTTGTTTGGATGGCCTTTTTCTTCTGAAAACACCTGACCATTTAAAAATTGCATTGTCTCATGTTATCTTTGTCTCACGGTAAAATTATCTTAAATATCTGAGTGTGAGAAAAAAAAACACAAAAACAGAATAAATCTGTAACATAGCATTTACTTTTTCTCACCACCTGGTTTACAAATAAAGAAATATCTGAAGAAAAGGCAACATTTGTTTGCTGTAGAACGTTTTATAATGTCGTTATGAGGGAAATCTCACAGGTTTCATTTTTCAAAGTGACCCAGCAGCACATTAAACCTCTTGAGCAAGCACTGAAATGACTAATCCATCACACTGGCATTAACAATGACGAAAAAAAAAAAAAAAAACAGAAACTCGGTATTGCTGCCCTCTCCTCACCCACCTCCTTCTCTTTTTCAGTGGGATGTTTTTCGATGGCAATCACACCTACATGATTGAACCTGGAGGACAGGCCAGCAACAGCGTAAGTGCCCTTTAAACCCACATATGTACTGTGGAGACGGCTCGGTTCACTCAAGAATGTTCATTTGTTTTCCCCACATCTCTTTAAGTCCAGCTGGGACATAACTGTGGTACATAAACAGGTTTGGAGCAGATTTACAAGAACCCTTAAGAATCTACACACAACTGTAACAATCCTGGGTTTTTATGACATAAATCAATTAGACCATAGTAATCATCTCAAAGGTTTTTAAGCATGTACTGTATATGGACTATATCTTGTAAAATTCAACAGAAAAACAAATCTGATAGAGAAAACCTCAGTAACTTTTTTTCAAACTAATATTTAGTTGAATCATCTTTTGATTCAATTTCAGTTTTCCATAGTCAGAAGAGGTCACGATGTTCCATGGATTTAGGTGCATGGAAATAAAAGCTTTTGTAAGCTTTTAGAGCTTTTTGCACTTCTTTTAAGCACATTGATGTTAAGTGCCCTTTCAGTCTAATCTGGTTGCATAGTTATGCTAGTTTGACATTAAACAAAATGCCTCGTTATCAGTAACGGCAGTAAATGCAAACCCTGCTAGTTCTGGGACGTACCATTAACTGCGTCTGTTCCAGAAATAGAAAAACAGCCAGCACATTTAAACAAAACCTCAGTGGGACCGAAACACAGAGTCAGCATGAGTCCAGCTGACCATATGGTAAATCCTTCTGGCCTTCCACCATCAAGGCAGAAAAAGTTACACAAAACATCATTAAAAAGGCCTCACAAAAGCCCTTCAGCTCAATTTTCTGTCTGTAAACACGTTGCTCGGTCATATCCGTAGGACACCAACTGACCGGTGGGTAAGTAAAAACCAGAAAGTCTTCCTACATGGGGCGTCCAAGTGGCTAGCAGCAGCACAATATAATATTTAATAATATGCAAACTTTTAGTCCAGCAGCTGGGAACATGATGCTCTTATGCTAGAACAACGTGGAAAATATATTTTGATACTGGTCTGCAGGAAGCACCACATGTTCTGTCCTTTAGTTATTACGTCATTCATTCATGTTTGCCCCCCTCCAGTGTTTATGTCACTGGTGAAATCTAAAAAGTGCCTCCTTTAAGATTTCAATGAGAAATAAGATGCAAATCTGCTGATAGTTTTAATGCATCTGTAACAATTTTCAAAAGAAGCATGAGGATTAACAGTGTTTAGTTGTGGTTTGTCTTTATGGTTTTTGGATTTACGTTAAATATTTCTGAGATTTTAAACATTAATTAAATGCAGTTTAAAATGACAATTTTATTGACATAAATTACTTTAATTAATATAGCAGTAGTTTTTGAATAATTGTGGTTTGTTTTGTTTTTGTTTGACATGATTCTCATTTTGGGCTGCACAGTGGTGCAGTTGGTAGAGCTGTTGCCTTGCAGTAAGAAGGTTCTGGGTTCAATTCCCAGCCCCAGTCTTTCTGCATGGAGTTTGCATGTTCTCCCTGTGCATGCATGGGTTCTCTCTGGGTACTTTGGTTTCCTCCCACAGTCCAAAAACATGACTGTCAGGCTAATTGGCATGTGTGTGTGTGCATGGTTGTTTGTCCTGTGTGTCTCTGTTGCCCTGTGACAGACTGGCAACCTGTCCAGGGTGAACCCTGCCTCCTGCTCAGAACATTAGCTGGAGATGGGCACCAGCAACCCTCCTGACCCCACCAAGGGACAATGGTGTAAAGAAAATAGATGGATTATCCTAATTTCTTTTGAAAAAATAGAAACCTTTTCATAGCAAACATCAGCTTAATTTCATGCACACTAAAACACTGGAAAGCAGTTTGAGTTTGTCTTTTAGTATAGTTAACATTTCAGTTTTTGAACTTGGTATGTAGTTTTCTTCACTGAACATGGAAAAAGGGTTCACTAAAATGTTTCATAAAGTTTTGAAATTATTCTGAGTCTCTTATTGTTCTTTGTGAGATTCAAGCTAAAACACTCATCTTTGATCCGTAAATGGTTTGTTTTACATATTTATATCAGTTCACTGATGTATCACTGTGACAAAATAAGAAAGAAAAAAAACATATTACGTATTTTGCGTGCATTATCATTTCCTTTGTTATTCTGCTTATGTTGTATGTTGATCTGAGGAAGAGATGGAAGCAGAAAGCAGACACTGAAGACGAGAGGGTGATGATTGGAAAGGAGTGTGCCGATGGGGGGCTGGTGGCGATGTTTTGGGGTTTTTTTGTGTTGGGGGGTTGCATTGGGTGCCAAATGATACACAGTTTATATGAGCACAAGCTGGGAATAATAATGATGCTGACAGGATGAAAAACAAAAATGGAGATAAGGGCTTCCCTGTGACCTGGGGCCAAGCTCATGTAGCTCAACCAGCTCCCGTTCATTCACACATTCACAAGAGGTGTCAATGAAAAGCATGTTACATCTCACTGCTTTTGTATTCATGAGCCGCCGGGCTGTGTTTGAGGTGCTGTCTCCCCTGGCAACCGAGACCCCACCCCCGCGTCTCCTTACGCCAGCATATGAAAGCCATCTGTGCCGACCCCTAATCTCCGCCGTTTACGCCCTCCCTGCTGAGGCTGTGCGCTGCGTTTATCTTTTTGAACTGGGATTATTGGCTCTGACTGACGATCTAAGGAACAAAGAATAAGACACAGTAAACTGCGGTATTTTATTCAGATGTTCCTGCTCTGATAAAGATGTTCAGGGCAGTTTATATGCTACAAAAAACCAACATAAACACTTTATTTTCAATCAAAGTGAATATAATGAACCTTGAACCCTGAAATAAAGTAGTAACAGAGAAGGAAGTGAGTTTTGGCTTCTCAATGTTCATTTAGATGCTTTAAAAGATGCAAAACTAGAGTCCTAGATGTTGTACGATTGTTTTTTTCAGCAGTACCTAAAATATGTGGGAGATTGAATGGATGAGTGGGTGACTGTGGAAGAAGGGGGGATGGGCTACATGTCAGGATGAATTCATGTGTGCCAGGACAAAAGCTTTTCCAATTTTGCTGATTTTTTATGCTGTGCTTCATATTTTGTGACTTATGTTAAATATATAGATATAGATTGAATAGCATTCAGTCAGTCAAGGCATCAGGGAGGAATTAGAAAACAATCTTTAAGGTTTCAAGGTTTCTAAATTTCAACTCAATCACCAGAGGAAAGTCTGATGAAAACAAAAGCTTTTACTTGGAAAGATTAAATGAAGCCATTTTTTAAATGGTTCTTAACCAGTGATGCATTTTACATTCAATGTCTTTCAAATTATTTTTTTCTAGAATCTGAGCGGTCGCTAAATGCCGATAGTAGAAGCAGAGGAGACGATACGCAAGGGAGGGATGTCAATTTAGCATGTGGCTTTAAAATGACGACAAAATGATTGTAAAGTTGATGTTTTGCTGTGGCTCGGTTCTTCCTTCAGTGACAACTTCTTCACCGAATGAGGTCATCAGTCTGACCTTTTACTTGATTGTGTGGTTGAAGGAACAATTTGTCATTTCTAACCCAAGATGGAGGACATTAAAACGCATCCACAAGTGTGATTTGTAATTTATTTAAAACAAAACTTTGAGAGTGTGGAAAAATAACGGCATTATATGGACCTGAATGTTACAGAATATAATTAAAACAATTAAAACCGTTGCTCAGCGCTAATTTATGAGAAGCATCAAAAAGGCAACAAGGTTAAATTTGGTTTCCGCATTTGCTCCGTTCATTACAGACTTTTATATTTGTTTATGGCACAAATGTTTAGATCCACAGTTTATATAACTTCTGCATTTGCAAAGGCAGGTTTGGCACAGATTAATAATCACTTTGAGCCACAATTTCAACACAAAAGGCAGCACAATACAAAAGCATAACTCTGAGCTAAGACCAGTAAACAAAAGCAAAGTGGCACAGTATTCATAATATTAGTGCATTAAAAACAGCTGCTTCTCTGTGACACAGTGGCATTAATCTTAATCAGTCACTTTACAGAAAACAATCTAAAGTTGATGCTAGTCAGTGTTAATGTTCAGTAGTGATAACAGAGACCTCCACAGCAGAGACCTAATTTTAAAGTGAATGTAACAAGTGAGAAAACATATAACATAAAAACTCAGTGAAAGGGAACCAGTCCACTTGGGCTACTGGTTCCCATTCAGTTAATGGTCCAACCCAGCTGGAAAACCAGAGGAACAATATGCTTTTCTTATTTCATGGGAAATAATTATATTTCTTCCCTTTTTGAAATACTAAGCTGAATGCAGTGTTTTAGGAATGTTCACTTTTAAAAAAAATACATAATCCTTCATGGAGTAGTGTTGTTTGGGTCGACTCAGGCCTGACCTACCTGGATAGAGTTTTTAAACTATCTAGAGGCTAAAAATAGCTCTCACATTATTAGCTCTGTTCTATCAGGGTCTATAAGTTTTATCAGCACTCTACTTAATGGTGCCTGACAGGCAGAGGCCTTCAGTGTGTTCTGCCTCTCACTCTGGATGGGTCAGAACAGGAATGTCGATTTCTATGGCCGACATACGTGAGCGGGTGGAGTAACGGTGGCCGGCGTAGCTGGAGGCATAACTCTGGGACGGCGCATAGCTCTGAGATGGTGCGTAGCTCTGAGATGGTGCGTAGCTCTGAGATGGTGCGTAGCTCTGAGATGGTGTGTAGCTCTGAGATGGTGCGTAGCTCTGAGATGGTGCGTAGCTCTGTGACGGGGCGTAGCTATAGGCCTGGGAGCCTCCCACCTCTGATCCGTACCCATCTGCAGGAGAAACCTGGGACATGTACACCTGAGCAGGAGCGGGCGCCATCACATTTTGTATGTAGCCCTGCGGCGGCACAAACGGCTGCGTGTCGATGACTGTGGGGGGAAGCGCCTGCGGTGGGAATGGCTGCGGTCCATAAACCGGGGAAGGAGGGAATCCGTTGGCAGTGAGATGCTGGGTGGACGGAGAGGAAGTCACGGGCTCCAGGGGCAGCCAGAAGGGCGAAGGCAGCTTCTTACACATGCAATACCACATGAACGTAAGTAGCGCAGCTAGCATCAGTCCTCCAGAGCAGCCTATGGCTATATAGACAGCGAACCCGTCGGAGAAGATGTTGGCATATTTACTGTTCATCTGTTTAGTGCGGAACAGGAACCACACTGATGGTGCGATGGCGATCGCTCCCCCGAGGAACAGGAAGGTCCCAGCCACCAGATGGCAGCCGGCACTGTTGACGAGGAATCTGGTGGTCTTAATGTCCGGCTCAGGCTTGTCTGAGCAACAGCAGGTTTTACACATCCCAGACATGGACAGAAGCAAGGCCAGAGAGGCCAGCGCGAAACCTGTAGGAAGGCAGAACTGCAGGAGCCGCAGATCCAGCTGGTCAACTTTGGAGTACCACTAGAAGAAAAGGACGACACAATGGTTTCTTCTTTCAGGATTACAAAACGAGACATGTTTTTAATGTACAAAAGCATATTTTTAATGTGGGTCATGTACTGTAAGGCCTAGCTGGACACCAAATAGATTTTTATGAGATTAGGTCTTTCAACCTTGTCAACTCCGTTTAGTATCACTAAAAATGAACAAAAACTCCAACCAAAGTGGAGCTCTAAGAACTCTTATTTGTGTTTGTGTGTGAACATTGGAAACTAGAGACTAAGAAGTTCACGCTCTACAGTCTGCGCCAAATAATGCATCAATATATCCACTTTGACACATTTCCCAATCAACGTTGTCTTGTGTTTTATTAACTTTATTTTCTGACATGGTATTTAAAAGTAGTCAAACCTATATATCAAATGAACCTGTAGGTGCCAGATTTCATTCTTAACAGGAAGTGAGTTGGTTTGAAGGATTGTGATTGGCTGACAGGTTTCAGCTTTTCCCTATTCTGCCCCCTGTGGGTTTGGCAGTGTAATTCAGCAGGTTTGTGTGGAAGAACATTTCTCTTAAATCCTGTGTGTACAGTAGTATTTTTTTTAAATGATGTGACGAAAGTATTCATTTTATAAAGACATGGTTACGTATATACAGGGCGTCATATTTACGACATTGTTTTTTTTTACTGACATTGTTTAGTTGTCAGACATTTTAGGACTTAATATCACAGAAATCAGAAAAGAATCTAAAACTAACTAGAGTAATACCTCTGAGTCATAGTAGTAACATCCAGAATATCCATCCTGTCTCACACATTTAGCCCATAGCCCGTCATACACCGTCACATTCTTGGCGTTGCGATTAAAGGTGACGAGTCTGGTGATGCGCCACTGTGGGATCAACACTGCCACGGCAATCCCACCCACACACACAAAGGCGATGATGAAGGCGAAGGCATTGGTAGCATGGATGTCCCGGCACGACATGGCTGGTCTTTAGAGGGCTCTGGTAGCAGAAAAGCAAAAGAAGTCAGGGATAGGACAAGTTATTCCAATGTGAAGCAGAACAATTCCAACAATCGCTTTAAAAAATCCTGAAAAACAGCAACGTTGCAAAGGTTCATCTGATTGACCCCGTTACTGCTGAAGTAACTGTGCCACTAGCTGGCCTAGCTGTGGGCCAGCCCCTATAACACATCTATTCACCAGCATGTAGTTGACCCAATATCTACTGTCCCTGAGTGACAATGCTCTCATTTCATTAGCCAACAAAGTGGGAATGACTCTGAGTCTGAGGCAGCAGGAGCGATACCCAGCAGGGCATCACATAGACTCCACAGTTACACAGAAACATGAATTTTATCTGCTGCTATGTGTCGGCGACAGAACCCTGCTTTTATATTCAAGACAGATTATGAAAGTTAAACAAATGTAAACCAAGAGGTTGTTCTGGGTTAAGATGGTGGTGATTATTACAGTACAGATGTCATGCAGCTGCAACAGTTTTACTTATTAAATCCTAGTAATTATATTTAAAGCATGTGATGAGCTAGCTTCTTGTCACCGAAGGAAAAAGTGCAGCATCAGCCTAGTTTCTAGCTTTTAATAATACATTCAGATTCAAAACTAAAGAAGAGAGAGATCTGACAGATTCTCTAAGCTCTGGAGACCTTTCATTATGTGAAATTATCTGTCTCCTAATATGTCTGTCTGGATTTATACTTTTTTTTTTTTTTTTTTGCTTAACTCAATATTGTTAAAGGGAATAATATTTTAACCTCAAGCACTTAAGAGTAGATGTGTTTACTGTTAGAATCCGCTGAATAAAACAGATTGAATGAATTGTGTGCCAAAACATAGATATTTAACTCGCTTTGATGTGACAATTTCATCGCTACTTTAGAGAAAATAAACAGCATAAATAAATAATCTCCTTTTGGCACACCTTCGATGTGAGTTATAACTGCTAAAGTCATGTTGACGAGAAAAAAATCTGTCACAATCACCACTAAGACAGCTGTAATCATGGGTGTGCCACGAAACCGACCAAGCTCGACCCATTATCTTGCTTTTTCCTACTATAACCTACTTTAACAGCTTCAGAAATACACCCGGATAACTAAACTGAGAGAATAACTTAAAATAACAATTATGTTTGTTAAAAACATCGGCCATTGGACGCCAATTAGCCAGCTAGACAACGGCTAAAAAAGTTAGCATTACAATAGCTACCTGTTGCATCACCATTATTTAAAATGAAACGCAAACTTATTATTTCAATGTAAGTTTAAATACCTCGTATTTTCCGAAATATGTCGTGTTTTACCGTGAACGTGGTGACATTTCTGTTCAGTCTCGTCTTACATACTTGAACACAAACTAAACTAACGCTGCTACAGTACAAACGGAGCGTAAACAGGATGTAGCGTGTTAACGTCTTCGGGTGTTTCCGCCCTCAGCGCTGACTCACAGGAGCTGGCTTAACCCTTTCTTGGATGTCTTCTGTGCTCTGTCAAGTTTTTTAATAAACTAAAATAGCAAATTAATGGTGAAGTTCATGTTTATTCGCCTTTTTTTATTCAGTGGGTGAATAAAAATATATATTTGGTGAATTTATTTTCTCTTGTTTTTCAGGGCGATCTTCAAGTTCACCTCATATACAAATCTGCTGGACAGGAGGAGCTGAGTGATTTCTTTGGTGGTAAGTGGGTGTCTGAATAGATGGAGAGCTTAAATGTGCAATTTTCCAATAACTGATGTGCAGTGTTGTGCTGAATAATCCGATAACAATGAATGTACAGCCAGCCCAGCCAAACATAAACACCAGGGTCCAATAATTTACTGAATGCTTTTAGCTCTGATTACATTGTTTATCTGTATCTTTTTACATTTACTCTTCTCAGATATTTTGTTTAAAGTATGTGACAAGATATTTTTGTCATAAATTATTTGTGAAAGCAATTTATTTTACTTTTATAATTGCTTCTTTGTTTATATGACTTTTTGCTAGTTCTAAGCTGGCATGAAGACTTTAAAACTGAAATCTGACTAAATAAATAAACAAATAAACACTGCAACTTGTTAAATCATGCTCGCTTACATGCTAAATTTACATTAATAAAATGTGTACATTGAAGCTAAACTCAGCATTGGACTGTTTCTGATTAGTGTTTTTCATTTCCAGGGGATTTACCAGAGCCACCTTTCCCCAGTCCGCCTTTTCCTGAGTCAAAAGTCGTGCACTGGAGAAAAAAGAGACAGGTTTGTTTTTTTGTTTTTGGGATCTTTGTTGCTAAAAAAGTCAATGATTTTGTGGCCCTCTCCCCCAAAACATTTTTTTCCGCACTATTTCTTCCCTTTGTCTCCGTTTCCTGAAATATTTATCTCATGAGTATTCCAGCTTTGTCTTTAAGATAAGATAAGATAAGATAAGATAAGATAAGATATTCCTTTATTAATCCCGCAGTGGGGAAATTTATATTGTTACAGCAGCACAGGACAGAGCAGAACCAATATAAAAATCTATATATACAAAATAATACAAGTGAATATAGAAATACTGAAACAGTATTGTATGAAATATAAATAAATAAATTCCAGGTTTATTGCTTGTAGTGGAGAGAAGTGAACTGCTGAGAGCAGCGGGTGTTGTACAGTCTGACGGCGGCCGGAAGGAAAGACCTGCAGTATCTTTTCTTCACGCACTAAGGTTGCCGCAGCCAGGCTCTGAAGGAGCTGCTCAGTGCTGTCAGAGGATGGTGCATGGGGTGGGACGGGTACTCCAGCATGTGCTGAAGCTTAGTCCTCATTCTCCTGTCTGCCACCACCTCCACTGGGTCAACATGACACCCCGGGACAGAGCTGGATTTCCTGAGGATCTTGTTCAGTCTCTTCCTGTCAGCAGTGGAGATGCTGCTGCCCCAACAGACCACTCTGTAAAAGATGGCTTATGCCACCACAGCATCAAAGAAGGTCCTGAGAAGAGCCCCCCGCACACCGAAGGACCTGAGTCTCCTCAGGAGATATAGTCTGCTCAGTGCTTTCTTGTAGAGGGCAGCTGTGTGGTCAGTCCAGTCCAGTTTGTTGTTAAGGTGTGAACACCCAGGTACTTGTAAGACCTCACGATTTCAATGTCCATTCCCTGAATGTTCACTGGCCCAGAAGGAGAGTGTTTGGACCTGCAGAAGTCCACCACGAGTTCTTTTGTTTTTCCTGTGTTGATCTGCAGACAGTTCCTCTGGCACTATTCCACAAAGTTCTGAGTCAGTTCTCTGTTCTCCCCATCATCTCCATCCTTGATGAGACCGACGATAGCAGAGTCATCCGAGAACTTCTGCAGGTGACAGCTGGCAGAGCTGTACCGGAAGTCAGCAGTGTAGAGGGTGAAGAGGAAGGGGGCAAGGACTGTTCCTTGTGCTTTAGACAAACCTTGTCTGACTGACAGCCCTGGGTCCTCACATACTGTGGTCGTTTTGTGAGGTAATCCAGGATCCAGGTGATGAGGTGGTGGTCCAAACCCGTGTACTCCAGCTTGTCCTTCAGTATCATGGGTTGGATGGTGTTGAACGCGCTTGAGAAATCAAAAAACATGATTCTCACTGTGCTCCCAGTATTCTCCAGGTGAGAAAGAGAGCTGTGTAGAAGGTGGATGATGGCATCCTCCACTCCAATGCCAGGTTGGTAGGCAAACTGAAGTTGAACAAATATTCAGATGTCTGCAGCTGTTCAGGCCTCTGCCCTTCTAGCCCCTCATGTTTTGTAAATCTGAAAACAGGCAGATCTTGTTTGACTTTTGAAAGTTCAACTTATCGATTTGTTGTTCCTTTTTTTTTGTGGTGCAGGAAACATGAGTGTATTACTGGGTTCATTGTACTATTCTTAGTTTCTCATTAAAATTCACTTGCTCAACGGAAGAGAACTGCAAAGCAAATGTCCGTCTGGTAGAAATGATAAATCTGTTCTCTCCTTCCAGGCTCCGCGTTTGTCACGCAGTGTAGAAGATGAGACCAAATACATAGAGCTTATGGTCATCAATGATCATGTCATGGTAAGCTGCAGCTGTTTTATAGTTTATGCCATTTAATTATGGATGTATAAATGTTTAAATGATAAAAACCAGAGTTGTTTGCATAACTTACAATTAGCCTTGCTACATGTATATAATTTACAGATGTTTGACTTTTTACTGTATATTTCAGTCATCTGGACATATTGATTCAAGAGTTTGTAAGAGTTTACAAACAAAGAAGGCTTTACTTTTTAAATGCCTAATTTTACTGCACATAGTCATTCATTGTTTTCTGTGAAATAAAGGGAATGTTAAATGTTTTTGGATATGCAAACTCAAATTTTACATTTAAGCCAGATTTTAGAACATTAATCCCTCTTTTATGTGTGTCCCCTCTCTCTCCTCTCTTTCTCTTTCTTCTCCTTCAGTATAAGAAGCATCGTCTTTCCGTTGGGCACACGAACAACAACGCTAAGACAGTGGTCAATATAGCTGACATGGTAAGAACCGAATCGATCTTCTTCTTGGAAAGCTCGCCACAATCACTTCCAGCAGAAGACGAGCACACGTTGCACTGATTTATCAATTAACCAACCATACTCTGGCCATTTATACTCTCTCCTTTATGAGGGATTTAAGTAGCCATTAACCCGGGCAGCTAAGAGTTGTCAGATTTCCGCCGCTGGGGAGAGGAGAGCAGCATTCCGACGGTCCTGATGCAGACGCTTTTCTGCAGCTGTGATGCACGTGCTGCGTCACTGAAATCTGACCGGCTGCAGGGTTGCATCTGTAATCCGAGAAGCTGGTGAAGTCTGACAGAGGTCACACTTTTCATTGTACCCTTGGAGATGATTGTTTGAACCTCTCTGGGGTCACGAAGGACTAACTGATTTCCACTCTGAATGCTACACAGTCCAGCTAGAGTCTGGATTTTAAAGAATAAACTTACATTTATTAGCGAATATACTAAAAATATGTGAAAAGTCTTGCATCGGCATGATTTCATACTGAAAAAAATCCAACTTTTAACTTGATGTTGAGTTGTAATTGCTTTTAGTGATGCTGCTGTTAATAATTTGAACAACCCCCATTGACAATACAGCACTTAGTCTTTTATAATATTTCACAAGGCATTGATTTAATGCCTACTAAGGCTTTTCTGTGGTAATTTGATACTGGATCATTATCTTACTAAAAGACCCAGTGATGTCACATGTTCGTTCCTGGTGTTTGAAAGGATTCATGGTTTCATGCACTTCAACAAGCTGTTGGTTCTGGTCTAACATGTAGCAGAAGACGTGACAACGCAAAGCTTAAGTAAGCAAATTTGTTGAAGGATCTTATAAAACTCAAGAGCTGAGGATACCCCCTCCCATTTGGATCCACAGAATGTGTTTTATCCAGTACATTGACATCTAGGACTGTAGTAACACAAATCTAGCTGTTGATCATGCTATCAAGACTCAGACATGTTCTGCTCCCACAGAGTCATCCTCTTACCACAGAGCTAATTCATTTCTGATCAAACAAGCAATGCTGACTCTTACATTGCCTTACATTAGTGACCTACTTTCTATTGTTAATTGTGTCAACCACAACATTTAGAAGAAATGAAGACCCACATCATCACAGATCCTCTTCTGTACTTAATAAGGAGCTTGAGGTGCTTTCCAATATATTCGTCCTTCCCTTCATGTCAGATCCACCAGAGTTTGTTGGCTCCAGTAAAATCACCAGCAAGTTTTAGCAAAATACACACAGGGATGTTTACCATCCAGCTCCTGATCCGGCCTAAAAGTTTGTGTTACAGCATATTTATACCCCAGCTAATCAGAAAGTCATGGATTACCAACCAGTAAAATATAATGTATTTATATTTTACTGCTTAAAATGTAAATAAGTTATATTTGTTTGTAAATATAACTTACTAATTCTAAATAAGTGTAACTTAATTATATTTTAAATAAGTTATATTATTTAAAGTAACGTGGCTAATTATGTTTAAAGTTATCAAATAACTTTAAATAATAACTTTAATTTAAACTAAATTAAAATGTAATTTAAATTAATTTAAATAAATTAACATTTTAATTTAAATCAATTCAATTAAAACTTTAATTTAATTTCAAATTAAGTCTTAGTTTATTTTAAATAAATTTTTTTGTGGTACCAGCAAATGTCCCTTCAATGATTTTA